CTTCATGTAGATACGTCCGTTTACAATGATTTAGCTCTTACAGTGCACAATCTGGAGCTGCTCTTTTTGCCTAGACCCATTTTTTTTTTATTTCACAGCACTGTGTGGCTGATTATTGCATTCTGTTTTTATGCAAATGTTACACAGAGTCCCAACTTTTTTGGAATTGGGTTTTTATTATCAGTGGAGATGTAAGCTAGTGCCAGACAGCTCTCCCAATTCCTAGACTTGCCTTCCTGATGGCACCATCATTGTAGCTAGTTATCAGAGATAGGATATGTTTCCAGTGGCTGTGGCTTAAAGAATGGGGGGTGTCTAGGTGTGGACCTTCTGTGCTTGTTAGACAACCAAACTTTAGATTTTAACTATAGGGGAAAATAAATATTATTATTGGTGTGCAGTCCTAGTGTGTGGAAAAGTTAGAACACCTGCATTTTCATGGTGTCCCATTGGGAAGATTGACTTTCACTTCCTATCGTGGACATGACTGCAGCTGAGGAAAAAATTTCTCCAATGGTAGGGGAAATCTCCTTTTAAACATATGTTATCGGAGGAAATGCCCCCAATGGAAGATTTCTCCTTTCATCCTGTTGTGAAAATCCTTGCCCAGGAAGACACAGGTGCTGCGTACAGCCGCCCATAGATATCAGTGGCTGTGTGCAGTTGTATAACTGGTAGGGATGCACCGATACAGGTTTTTCGGTATTGAGTACTGATATTTTGTTTCCGATACTCACCGGTGCCCTGTGCCCCGATTATGAGGAAGCTGATGTTCTAATGAAAGAACACCAGCTTCACTTGCCGAGGCTGCCTGGCTTCCTGACCAATCAGGAAGCCCGGCGGCGGGTCATGAGGATCTGCCCGGCTTACTGATTGATTAGGAAACCGGCTTCACGTGTTGCTAGGCAGATTAGCTTCCTGACCAATCAGGGAAATGGGTCATGACATGCACCCAGCTTCCTGATTGGTTAGGAAGCCAAGCTGCCTAGTAACAAGTGAATCCGGCTTCCTAGCCAATCAGGAATCCGGGAGGTGGGTCCTAACCTGCCGCCTGGCTTCCTGATTGGAATGGAAGCCAGCTCCATACTCCCTCAGCACTGCCAGCTATAGGGAGATCTCCCTCTGACCGGAAGTTCCAGTATCGGAGCATTTGGGTGAGTACGAGTACTCGCCCAAATACTCTGTATCGGTGCATCCCTAATAAACTTGCGCATGCGTACAAACACAGTCTGGGTTTGGGGCGCATATTCATATGTGTGCACAAGTTGATGAATGTTTACCTGCCATACAGCCATTGGCGTCTATGGACAGCTGAATGCAGCATCTGTGACTTCCCTGAAGGGGAAGTTTGTGGAAAGGACACTGCTCATATTTGTATGTCCAAAAAGCCAGGTGCCGGTTGACAGAGGCACGTCACGGCCACCACTAATCCAATGTGTGTAAGGCCACATTCAACAGCCAGGACCTCAATGTGAAAAACGTTATTCCCAGAAATCTAAAATGTTACAAGCATAACAAAATTCATAGACTGTCATGTTTCCCCAAAAAGGCTTATTCATAGAGAGTGAAATACACTCATCCCCATAATTAAAGCTGACGTGTGAAACTGAAGCTGTCACATGTTGGGTCTCTTGATCGAGTTCCGATCTTCTCCCTGCAGAGAGCGGTAGGATTCCAGCTGTCAATCGGGCAACGGGGGTGGATCATGAAAATGTTGTCGATCGGTCCCGGCAGCACTGCGGCTCTGTATCGCCAGCATATAATGGGCAATAGCCTGTTATATGCTGAGATTTGAGCCACAGGAGGACATTACTATATTTAGGTATAAGGCCCCCATGCACCAGTGTGCTTTAGTTCTACCATATATAATGCAGGTGTTGTAATGTCTTTTTAAACACATAAACATATTAGAAAAAACCTGCCAAAAACGTAGGAAGGTTACACTGTGTGTATGCCGAAAGAAAATTGCTTGTCAAATTGATTAGTAGATCTGCAGAATAAAGGCAGCTGGATTTATATGCAAATTACAACTACAACCAATATGCAGATTACAATCATTTTTCCTCAGGTTGACCACTTCCCATCAGCTTCCCTGTTGGTTATTGAGGCTGCCCAGCCCTTTAAAGGACCTATTTTGTGGCTGGAGGAGTTGGCCTAAATTTGACTTTTACAGGAAAAATCACGATTTGCATACAAGATCAGCTGCCATGGACTGTACAGCTACTAGTCATTTGGACCTATGCATTTACGTGTTTTCTTCATTACTTTGTCATGAAATATAAATAAATGCCTTTTATATCTTACATGGATTTTATATATCTGAATAAACATTCAAATCCGCTGTAGGTTGTACAAATAAGTAAATCTTTTTTTTTTTTTTTGTCTGCAATATCCCTGTACTTGAGTAAAACATTTTTCTTCAATTTCCCTCATTATCTGGTCAACAATTGATTTATGTACAGTACGAGTTGTTATGGCTACACACATCATTTTTTTTAGTATCTAAAGTCAGGTCAAATTTTGCACAATAATATTTTATCACGACCATTAGAACCTTTGGATTATGTTTTGCTAATGGGGGATATTTAAAGTAAATGTGTTTTAACAAGCGTTGGTAATGATGATTGTTGAAATAGAAATTTAGCTCCAGCTAATAAACTGTTGATCTGCTGCACCTTTAAGGTGTTTCTAACGGAAAACAGTTAAATGGATAGAAATGTGTCCGCCAAGACTGAGTGCCCAACGGCTGACAATTAGCCGGCCTGTCAGCACCACTTCTCCATCGTTTGATTGTGGTTGGCATGAGACCCCGATGAAGACATCTGGGGCCCTGGAGGGAGATTGCGGCTATTTTTCTCCCACCACTGGACCTCTTTGTACTGGATGATATTTGTTTGTGCATTAGCCAGGCTGGCTTGAAAGCTGGCATTATGTTTCCTTTGCCCTGGACACTTTATCTTTTGCTTTTTTCACTGCCACTTTGTTAGGGGCACAGTCCAGCTCACAACTGCAGTCCTTTTTCTCTGAAGTGCCAGCTTTATACAATTAAAACTTTCTCTACCATTTCTCTTCACCACTACTTTGTTGGTCAAGCATTATCTCACTTTGGAAGACTGGCACATGATGGGGACACTGCCAGGGTGATCCACTAGTTCCAGCAAATGCATTAGACAGATTCTGCCACCATTCTGCTCAGCTGTCACCCAGCTACTCAGCTGCTATGTGTGGAGAAACACACAACCAGAATGTCTCCTAATGAGGCATGTTAGAAAAATATTACTAACTGTGCCATGTCACATCTCCGGGACCACACAGCATTCTTTGTTTCCAAAGTTCACTAGGACAAAAGCAACGTTCAATAGAATTGTTAATGGTAGGAAGTGGACAAGGTGGCACTCTTCCTCGTGTGCACCTGAGTGTTGGTCAGTAGAAGCCATGTATTAAAGTTATATTATATGAGATATTTACATGTTTTATTTCCTGGCAATGTTCACATAAAGTAACTAGATTGTGTTTTGTGTTCCTTGCTGTTTAATGGCAACCTGCAAAGGCCAAAAATATGGTAGCTTCTATTGCAGACTTGGTTTTTAGTGAGGCATTGTTCATCAGTACTGTTATTATATTTCATGTGTCTTTGCCTAGTAAATCACATACATTTAAAACATCTGAAGTCCCATTCTGCAAGTTTAGTTAAGTGACTTAACTAGTCGGTGAAGCAAGGATCCAGATGAAAGTTCCAGAGCCTGCATCTTTAAACCAATCAGTCATTTCAGCTCCTGTATTTCTGTCCTCATAGGTTCCCTTAGGTCCATGTCTGGCGTTCAAGTCCTCTTATTGAAAATCAGAATTCATATTGCACTATGAGTACATTTTACATAAAAGGAGGACATTAGAAGCCTGATAATGTTTCATTAGTTCACTTACCAGTACATTGAATTCTGCCCCGTGCTAAAACTGCAGGGTTTATGCAGGTTGTTTTTTTATGAAGTCGTAAATTTATAGCTGAATTAGTTGTTTTATTGGCGTATTTAACAGACCAATAGAGAGCAAGGTTCCTTGATAGGACATTTAAACTGCTGGATACAATATTGGCACAAAATACACAATAGAATAAGCATGCAATGCACATGCTTTGCAAGCATGCAAATGAATGTACTAATTAACACTTGCAGATATGTATAACCTCTGAAAGAGATCACACACAGTACTGCTGTGGTGGTGCCATGCTTGTTCATGCATCATGCAGGATCATCATCTACTTCCTGGACTAAGATTATGGCCCAGAGATGACACATTTATGTAAATCCCCGTATCGCTGTGTGTGCATATGTATTCCGCAGATCGGCTCTCCTGTTGCTGCCTCCCACCGTGTGAGCTGTAACAAAGTTAAAAAGTATAGTAATTACTTGGGGAGACTGATGGGATGCTCCTTCATGCCTAAAACAGAAGGGTACATACATTTCTCCTAGATTCCTAGAAGTATGACGTGAAGTGAACAGAAATCTCCAATCAAGTATAGGGAAATCTTAAAAAAAAAAAAATCTTGCCCATGATTTGATGATTCACTTTTATGCCTAGGCACAGTCTTTTGGTTAGAGCCCCTTTCTTATCACAAGTTACAGCTATTTTTTTTTTTTTTTTACTGTTTGCTGTATATTATGACAGGACTTTATTTATATAGACAAGCCTTTTCAAACCAATCGTGACGGGTTTTTGTAGACTTATCAATCCTTTTCATGTCTATGATACTATTTCACCCTGTAATTTTTGTGTGTCAGGTTTATTGCAGAAGAAAATAGAGTTGCAATATTTTAGGTGAAAATGTGTGAACCTGTCAATCATGCAAAAAAGTAGCCCAAAATGGAAGAGGACAGATACATCATGCGTGAAATTATGGTTCTGAAATATCTTATTTTAAAAGAGCAATGTGCTGAAACAAGTACCTGTCTTGTTGGTACTCCTCTTATATTTACTCTTTCCAATGTCCTTTGCCTTTACAGATACACATCAGGTGATGTTCGTCTGTGGGATACAAGAACTTCAGGACTTGCTGAATCTTTTCTCGAAACCACCCATCATCTGGATCATTCGGCACAAAGTCATCAAGTTTCTTTCGTTCAGATAAACAAGTCCTTGGCAGTGGCTGCTTATGAGGATGGTAAAATGTTTTCATAACATTTCTAAATTAACAAGTATTTTATTCTGTCTTGTCTGTCTGCCTGCTTGCTTGTCCTGCTTCCAATTAGTTGGAAATGAATTCATGTTGCTTTGAGCAACGCAGGCAAGGACTTTTGTCATACGATGGGACACTGGCAGACAGACAATATGACTATTAGTAAACTTAAAGAAGAGGGCAGTAGAAATCTTAACCCTTGCAGTGGGGCTATCCCGCACTGCAAGGTTAAGTGCTCGTTGTCACCTAGGGTGCCAACGCTGAAACGGCCTCCTCCGTTTCAGCGTTGGCATGTCCCTCTGTGTCTTCACGTCCAATACACTGTATTGGAAGTGATGACTCACAGGACCTAAGACTGTGGAGCGGAGGGGGAGCGAGGCTGCAGGAACTGGTCTAGCAAGTCAGCTGGATGACGGGTTCAGGTGAGTAATTGTTGTTTTAGGCCAGTGGTTCTCAACCTGTGCAACCTTAGGACCCACATTTGTCCTTAGTCGCATCGCACAGGTGCGTACGGCAGTGCGGTACTGCGTGTTCCGATGCAAGCAATTGAACTGCGGGCAGGAGCTGAGTTTGGGGTGCCATGCAAATTAATAGCAATGCAAGGCCTCCCGCACCAGAATGTGCGGTAGGTGCGATTGCGTGGTACAGTGTGTTAATTGCACATGGTTGTGTGGTCCATATGAGCATTGCTTGTACAGCTCCCTTGCACGTCCTGTAGAGGTGCCAGAATGTGACAGCACTCCGTTTCAGGCACTTCTACAGGGCATTTGAGGGGAGCTGTAAGCAATGCACGCATGGGCGAAACTCCCTCGTGGCCATACTCCCAGCCCACTCCACCTTAAGGTGGCACTTGGCGTCGGGCAGCATATTTTGAATAGCTGCTTGGCATGAGAACGGACAGTGCTGCACTAGGGGGAGGCTGAGGAGCCTCTCACCTAGCACAGTGAAAGGCACGTAGCGACCCTCAGAACGCTGGGGTTGTGACCCACCAGTTAAGAACCACGGTTTTAGACTCTACATAAAAACAAACATTCAACCCTTTCAGTGTGTGTGTGTGTGTGTGGGGGTTTTAATATTTTACCTGGGCACAATGGATACGTATACAGTAAGAAGAAAACTATCTTTGTAAGCTTCTCTTGGTTATTTTTTCAGAAAAGCACTCAATTTGTTTTCTCTTTTTTCTTATACAGGCATATTTTTTTCAGGCTCAACAAAAGTATAGCACTTTAAATTATTCCCCAGAGTTTTCATTTTTAGCTAAAATTTGTCTTGGTTTTTCCTGGTACTAAACATTTCAGCACACAAATTGTGGCACAATTTACTACAGGTATTAACACTTTTCTTTTCCATTATTTGCAGGGCACATCAAAGATCACTAGATCTTGGCCAGCAGTCAAGATCAACTAATCTTCACTGTGTCCTCCAATGAATGCAGAGAAAAGGATTTTATGGTACAAAAACCCAATTATTACAGCTAAAATTTTCAGTTATCACATCTAAAAAATGAATAGTCACTTAGTGTGCCCCAAACTCAGTTCTCTAATCCTAACTGACCTCAGCATGAATTGTAAAACCCAACCCCTAATGTTATCTCTTACTCGACCTATTCTTCAAAAATACTCTAAACCGTAGTTGAAATAGATACTGTGACAGAGTTAAATACAATATCATTGTGGTGCCTTATCTTATCACAGTAATAAGTCATGTTATAAAAGCTTCAGCATCTATTTACAATGTTTCAAATTGCCAGAACCAAAAAGCCTGCGTCAGTCTCTGAAATCTTAGGCTGGGTTCACACCTTGGCGTACTATAGGCGTGTTTTTTCTGCTCGTTTTTTGGCACGTTTTTCCGTTCAGTGAAACACGCGTTTTTATACCTCCCTGGCGGTATGTTTTTTTCCTTTTTATTTTCTCTTTTTTTTTTTTTTTTATAAACTTTCAAACTTCTCGCCGATTCCGCCCCCCCCCCTGCAACGCGCACGCTCGCAAGGCAAGGAAGACGGCAGCAGCCGGAGGACACCGCGGGGATAGCAGACAAGGTAAGACCTGTATGCTGTATTCCAGAGTGTGGCTCGGGGTTACCGCTTTGTTAACCCCAGGCCACACTCGGGAATAACAATGGAAACGCACTGAAATACGCCCCAAAGAAGATCCTGTACTTGTTTTGGCGTAGGACGTTTATCAACGCGTTTCCACGGGCTGAAATACGCCCAGGTGGGAACCATGCCCATAGGGAAGTATGGGATTTCACTTGCTGAGCGTTTTTAAGCGCTTCTATCAGCGCTGAAAAACGCCCAGGTGTGAACCCAGCCTTAAGTCCCCACCACTCATACAGTAGCAAACCTAGAATCACTAGGTTTAATGTGTCGACAGACCTATTAACTTACCTGTATATATTTAGGTTGTTGCAAGAAGCCAGAACACTTGGAGAAAACTCTTGCTAACTTCACTTGTGCAAACTCTATGCAGATATTGTATGTCAAGGGATTTAAACAGAGCAATGAAAAGCAGAAGCACTCACCACTTAATTTCAGTTATTTAAGACACTTTAATAAAGTAATTATAAAAAGTGGTAAATTACATTTCTTTATTTTCCATTGAGGGATACAGGAATCATAGGAATGCTAAAAGTAGTATTAAACTCTCAAACTTTAGTTCGATAATGAATCCAGATCAAACAAATATACTAGGGCTGCAACTAATGATTTTTTTAAATAATCGATTAGTTGGCTGATTTTTTTTATCAGATTAATCGAAAAAATTAACTGCCATCCCTAATTTAAAATAAAATACACAAATGCGGTGTTGCAAACAAAGTTCACTTCAGAATAAAACTGCATGCACAATTTGTTGCAATCACACTGCACTGGAGCACACGGCATTGCGGTACTGTGGGTTCCAGTGCGGGTGTCCACAATGCAGGTGGGAGGCGCGTTTGGGGTGCTATTGAAAAGTACACAGCAGAGACAGCTCTGTGATTGCAGAAGATTCGGTCATGTGACTTTCATAGGTCTCTCTCCTCCTGGCTTTTATTTTATTTTTTATTTTAACAACATCAATAATTTTAGTGTGCTCTGCAAACTTTGGACTTCAAAAACTGTATGGCTATACTGCTGCTTTTTAAATCATCCCACTAAGTCTTGAAGAGTAAAAGTCTTAAGTTGTAAGTCTTAAACGGTAACGATCGCATGAGGTCCAAAAACATTCCTTCTACAAACTGGTGTTTCCAAAGTATGTTTACTCACACAAAAGCTGGCAAATCCTTTTGTTCAATCCCTATTTCCATAATTATTTTGAATATTGTGTTATTATTTAAAACAACATATAGATGAGCAAGTTTATCTGTAGCAAGCATTACCATTAAGCTTGTGTATGTGCTTCACATGAAAAGGTTAATGCTATGGTTGAATGAAAGTCTTTTAGTAAGTATAATAAAACAGCTGTGGCTTGCTTACACAAAAACATCCATTTTACTTTAAGTGGATGCTTTGGCTGCCATGTCCTTTTTTCCCTTTTACATGTGCATTAGAAGCACACAAGCACAGCACCCATTATATTCGTTTTCAATTCTTCTGGGGCTTCGAGCTCTGAGGCTGTGTGGTGCCAGGTATTCTCTGCAGCCAACATTGTCTTGTAGCGAACAGCGGAATATTAACCCTGTCATTAATTTCATGTCAAAACCACTTTTTGCGTGACTGGTGGTGTATTACTAAGGGCAAAAAACTTAAAAGTTTGTTTAAAGTTTTCAAGGTTTGTACAGTGTGTGGAGGGGACTTTGAGAAAGGGGAGAAGCTCTTGACATATCCTGGATGCTAGAATGGAGGCGGGAGAGAAGGTCATGTACTGAACAGAGGCAGGTATTTAAGCTAGTATCTGGAGGATGTGAGAAGGTCATGGACACAGCAAAGCCCCCTTGTGGGCTGGTATCTGGAAATTAGCAAATACATGTATGTAGAGGACAAATTATAGGTACATTTTCTTTTTTTTAAGGTTAGCATTAGAAGTTTAAACAGAATTATTTTAGCAATTGGAAGCCTGTAAGTGTGTTTGCATTGAGGTAACTGAAATGATTGATGTAAGAGGATCAGCATAATGGTCGGCCAACTAGGATTTGCAGAATAATACATAGCAATAGCAGCCTCAATGCTTCTTTCAGGAAAGTTTTCTTATAAATCATTGGTGCCCAACAAGTGAGTGCCATAGATGCACTCAAAAGCAGAGTACCGTAAGCTCAATGAGGAACGGTGTGTTGGGATTGAAATGACGTCACAATCGAGCAGAGCAGTAAATGTTCTACTTTCGACCTAAAGATTGTAAGCCCTCACGGGCAGGGCCCTCCTTACCATCTTGTCTTGAATTGTATTGTGATTGTAATGTGTTCCTTATATTGTAAAGCGCTGCGCAAACTGTTGGCACTATATAAATCCTGTATAATAATATCATAACAATGATAATCAGTCAACCCCCTATTTAAAAACATTGCAAGTACAGATAAATACCTGTTGATTGTGCCAGAAATCCAGTGAGCTCCTAACTTCCTGTTGACATAGGCACACCCCCTCCACAACCTAATTTTGTTTCCCAAAAGCATACTATACCTACACAGAGTGTGTGGCCTGCCTATTGGGAGTCAAAGCAGCAGCATTATTCTGCCATAAAGAAAAAAATATATGCATGTTAAGGGAGGCAAAGTTCGTAGACTGGCAGGGATGTTAGTGCTGCTTGGGATTTCAGTGTAGCAGAGGCAGTGACGTCAGGCACAACAGGAAGTTAGGAGCTCACAGACAGGATCAACAGGTATTTGTTTTCTATACTTGCAGTGTGTTAAAAAGAGAACTATGGCCCAACTTTTTTTTTTTTTTGCCATCGTTCTCTTCAGCGCCTGAGGAGGACATTTACTGTGTACTAATATGACCCAAAACTTAGCATATAGCAGGCCTTTTTGTATTTCACTCTGCCCATAATTCTCCTTTAAGGACACATAAC